TGAACGATAAAGAGGTGTATGGAGAGTAGCTAGTTTCTGAAAAACAATTTCCCCCAAACAGGCAGAGCTTAGAGAAGTTGATCTTTGGAATGGGACAGTGTGGACAGTAAGAGGCACATTTATACTCTGTAATTTCACTACGTCTGCACAAAGGTTTCTGCTGTCTCAAAAATGTTTGAAATCATCATAGGAAGAGCACTGCATGGCAGCAAGGTATAACTCTGCTACTCTCTGCTACCTGTGACAGATTTGCCTGTTTATACACAATTGCAGAAAGATAGAAAGATTCTGCAAGAAAACACATTGCCACTAGCAAAATGATTTTTTTCTAGAGCATGGTGATTTTGCCAAGAAAATAAAAATCATCAGCCAATAACAGGAAACCTCCCAGAACTGTAACTGGTATTAAAGAGTCTCTTTAGCTACAAACTTCTCCTTATTTCAGTATAAATCCAGTGATCTTTATTAGAGCTACTAAACAATTCAGACTTTAAACATTTCTATTTAATGCTTTACAGATCAACCGATTTAAAACCTGAGATTAAGCAATTTAAAATCTGAATTGATCATAGAAAGTTCACTCATATGATTTCAGTTGGAGAGGGGTTCACAGCTTACAGCACCAAAGACAGATGCATTTGGAAAACCTACACAGACACTTAGCTCCAGTGGGAAAATATATTTCATCTGAATGTTAAATGAAAAGTCATAAATAAATCAAAAATATGCACACCTTCTCAACTCTGTAATTCCCTGCAGGGAATAAGCCAAAGCTGAAACCACTCTGTGTTCCCTGAACTCTGACAGTTTGGGTAAAATAGTACAAAAATTAAAATCACACCTCATCTTGGTTAAAAAAAACACAAGTCATACACTTTTAAAATAAAGTACAGCTTATTTTGTATAACTATACTTAAGGCAATGTAGATATTCACACAGCTGTTGGACCTGCTCCAAACACATCTCTAAAAAAGACTAGTTAAAGGTCTGTGAACATGAAGCTAAGTAATTTCTCTGAGTTATTTTATGATTAGTCAGGAATTATTTAAGTTAAAGATTTGTTTAGTGCCAGAAGCAGGTGGGTTTTGCTGCGGTTAGAAGTTTCCATAAGAATAACAGAAGTGCCAATTAAAAGCCAATTAGTCATGGAAATTACTTTAAGGTCCAGCACTTTGCAAAGTCTCCCCTCTTCAATTTTCCTTCTCTCGAGCTGCCCATTATCCTCAGTACAAAGACTTGAAAATGAATGTGGCCTGTTTGCCTGTCTCCATGGAAGCCTTGCCACGCTGCACCGTACACAAACACTTCCCAGGCGTCTTCAGCACTACCTTCCCTCTGATCTTTGCCCTAAACAAATGTGCCGTTTATTCACTCTTCTTCGCATTTATGAAGACCCATTTGATGCTGTATGAATACTAATGAGAAAAGAATTAAACCTATGTTTAAGAATGAGTGAAGATTCTTGCTTTTAGCGTTTACCATGACAGTGAAAGCATGCCAGTTGGCCTCTTTCATTATGCTCTTCTTTCAATCCTGAAACCCCTGCCAATTCAAAATTAAGAGTGCAGGTTTGGCATTAAAGTCAATTAAAAGCTCCCCAATAGGAAAAAATGACCTAGTGGTTAAATCACATGATGAGAAATCAAGAGATCATGGTGTTTCATTGTTCTGCTACCGAGGAGAACCACCATGACTCCATTCAGGCCTCCATCACCATCCTCGTTCAAGTGGGAAATGCTGTGTACTCCAACAATGTGAACTAAGGAGCATGAAGCAACCCTATGAGTTAACACCTTCTGTACTGTTGGGCTGCATCTTCTTTAAAGTGCAAAAAAGAGACAATCCAGTCAGAAATTTGAAATATTCTCTGAAGTCAATGTAGGATCCTATATTGATGGCAAAATTAAAGAAAGAAACAGTCCTTTCTTCCAATAGACAGCAAAGATTCATTAGTATCCCTAATGCTATTCTTCTAGTCTGTGCAACATTTCTGATGAGAACTTTCTTCAACCCATCTCATCTTTAGTTTCTAGTTATAGTTTAAAGGAATGGTGAGTTTGCCCTTGCAGCTACGTGAGCAGTATCAGCAGCCCCCTTTCCCCCACCCCCTGCCAGTTTCTGTATAGCCAAAAAGATCTCTAGCTCTGCCTCCTGACCTTTGGCACCAGATTATTGCCTTCAACTGCTTTTGGATGACATGAATGAAAACCAACTGTGTTTAAACATCCCTCCTTTGGGAGTCTATTGCGCAGGACATTCCACCTCCCTTTACCTACTGGGCTCCTGGCAAGACGTTCCAAAACAAAAGGTTTCCAGTTTTGTTATTTCCAACAGATCCTTGACATTATATATTAGCTGACCAAATCACTTGGGTTTTTTAAAACTTGTCTATCTACTCATGCTGCTGCTTGTTTTTTTTTTTTGTCCTTCATTTTTACCTGTCATGGACAAGCTTTGAAATTCCAGCTTGTCCATGCCAGACGTTCCTTCACGCACATTTAAAATCTGCCCCTTTCTTAAACACCTTGAAATAATTTCCATGCATGTTTCTAGAAAACAAGGCTGTATCTTAATTTGTGCTGCCTTTTTCTTTAGGGTGTAAGGTACACTAACTTTGCTTCTGTTGGAGAAACTAAGGCACAATGTGATTTGGTGCAAATGATAGAGCCTGGGCTAGAACCAAGATTTAAGTTCTGGAGCACCTGGGACTGTGGGCACCCTTGCTCAAAACTTGCATTTCTTTCTAATTTCCCATATGAACATCTCCAGAGAAGACAGAAACGGCTGTCTTTAATCAATATATTGGGCAGAAAGACCTAACAAAACATGCCGTCTGTATGGGTCCCTTAATTTCTCCACATTAAGAGAGCGCTGATGAAGTCCTCTAAAGAAAATTACTATAATCAGAGTTTGTACTTTGTATTTCATCAACTAATTATAAGTTCCCTTACAAGAACTACAGAGACTTGAAAGCTATTATTTAGGTCTGTCTCAAATCTCACCTAAGTGGAGGGAGTCAGCTATTCCAAGTCCTGTATTTTATGAGAAGGATTGTTTTGTCCACCAAACTTCATAATGTTCCTTGGACTGCAAGCTAAATTGAAACCAGGCTGCCAGATGTAAGAAGTTAATACCACTAGCAGATCTCCCATTAACCATCACAGGATTTACCCACTTCTGCTAGAAACACTTTCATGATACCTGCAGTATTCTCAATGTTTTATGGGTTAAAATATTAACCAACTTTGAGACTACAATGAATATTCAATGGAATGTCAACATCTCTGTATCATGTGAACTAACTCTAGAAATCTGAACTCCAAACAGATCCAATTATACCGCAGCTCAAAACTAAGAGAACAGTCTGCACAATACCGGTGACAGTCCTTAAAAGACTGTAAAGGATTGAGTACCAGACCCCAAAATATTTTTGTCTTAAAATGAAGGAAATTAGCACATTTCATAAAAAAACAAGATGTAACATTCTTGTGAAAGGAAATACTACTACATTCCACAACAACTGTCCAGAACACTGAAGTTCTATGATGCTTCCAGGAGTCCCCATTTTGAATGCCCAAGCTTAATAGTGCTTGCTATTTGTGCACTACGTCATAATTATTTTTTCCAGAACTAATTAAGCTAAATGGCTAGCCAGACTGCATTTTGGAGACTGCGAGCTCCCTTGACTTTACAGGAAATCCAATTGTTGCTAGGCTAAATAATACCATAAATTGTAAATGAAATATGTCATCAGTTTTTATGCAGTTAGCTCTACTCGAGGGAGTAAAAGGAGTGCTGGTTCCTAAGCATGGATTACCTCAGCCTCTGTCTCTACAGATATTTTGAAATACTGACTTCTGTTGTTAAATTCATGATCTGATTTACTTGGTATACTTTCACAAGCAACAGGGGAACTAATATTGGTGTGGTTCTTCAGGAACTGACAGCAGCTGTGTTAGATTAAACAAAAGCTCTCTGTGATAACTCATCTCTAACTTGGCATCAGCTTTTCTATTACTACATCTAAGGTCCTGTTTCTAGCAGTAGTTCCATTTACAGGCAGGAAGTATTTAGGAAGTATTATTCTTGTACAAAAAGATCACGTTATACAACTTGTTTCAGTATAACCAATTTGCTAAGTGTTTCAACTCTCACTTTTTGTTGATGAATATTTACTGTGTTAAGTACAAGAAATATTCAGTATTCACCAGACCAAAACTAATCTTAGAAAGAATTTGGAGGGAACTTAATTTACTGTAAAACTCCTGAACTTCATTTGCTTTCTTCTGCATATAGATTCTTTGTAAACTACAAGACAGCTCCTACTGGGAAAAGTATAACCACGTTATTATACGGTCTAAATAGGAAAATATCCTGATCTAACTATTGAAAGTAAACTGTTCTCTAAATAGTAAAAAAGGAAGCAATGGAAAGGTACTCTATATGAAATGTGTAATATTACATTACACAACACAGGCATGTAACATACACAAGCTTGTAATGGATTGGACTTGGTGTTCATTTAGCTCCATACCTGAGAGGTCGCTTATTCCTACCACAAAGGATGTTTGACATAAACCTTACGTGTGTAGATGGATATGCCAAATTTCCATTTATCCAGTCTAACTGTGAGTTTCTTACTACATTAGAAGAGTCCCCATGGTAAAAATGAAGCATGCTGTCAGTGGAGAAGGGAAAGTTTATGGCCAGAGTAGACTGTTTCCATATATATTTTCTAGATGTCTTTCACCTGAACTAAGAGCTGTAAGTAACATTTAGTTCTCATTACCTAAATCTAACAATAGCTGAAATCTGCCTTCCTTTGATTCTTAGTGAAGCAGTCGAATGCAGCCCTCGGAGTTCAGTTTCACAGGCACTGAAGGCAGATACACCCGTTCTTCTATAGCAAGTCTGGACAATAGCATTTGATTGTCCCTGTGCTACGCTGTGCACATTCACCTTGGTTTTTCAGATTTCCTGATTTTGCCCTTCCTTTCCAGGTCGAAAATTGTGAGATTTCCACTGCCCTCAAGAAGCGGCCCAGAGCAGAAAGAGGGAGCAGCCTTACCAGATGGAAGATACTGCACGTCTGTTGTGCAACAAGATCGACGGTCTCCCACCGGTGGAGCTGGCATTTCTGAGAACGGTACCAAACCCAGTACCCAACTACGTTATTTCCTCACTGGTTTGTAAGATCCTGAGCAGAAAAAAACTAATATAGATATTAAACCACCAAAGCCACAAACCAATCCTCATGAATCTTGAAATCCTAGACCTAAATAAAAGGCAATATATCAGCTTTCTACTTCTCACTCCCCACATAATTTTGTGTTTAGTAAAAGACTGAACGTATTACTTAGAGCTATGCTTTAAAACTGCTTTTTCCCCCCAAACGATTCACCTCACCAAAACATTTTTCCTGGCTTCAAAGTATGAAGTTTTCATTTCTTTGTAAATAAAGACTCAAAACTTCAGCTAAAATAATTTCCAAGCAAGCCATTTGCAGTTAACATCCTGTACAGTTCCACTGTTCTGAAACATCCCGGCTGCTTCAGCAACAATGAAAAGGTCCAACCTGTTCCGCACATACAGCGCTAACCACCGCCATAACACTGCATACTTGCGATGTCTCGTGGGACCGCATGAAGCGTTCCTTGAAAGTCTTCTAACATCCCTGGGTTTGCCAAGGCTGGCTCTCGCTATCGATGACCTCGACTAGGCTTTTGTAGAGCAGACAGTTAGAAGGGCTCTCAGAGAGACAGCAATTTGAGGGGTGGGTCATTTAGCTGCTGTCATGATGAGACACATTTATGATAGGCATCTTAGAAGCCAAACATTTTCCCTCCCTCTCTGAGTAGTGGCTTACGTGCCAAGTAAATTGCAAATGCGAAGTCTGGCAAGTTTGACTTACCTTCAGTGATTTGAGGGAGGAGGGGATGGAATGAAGGTGTGTGGGTTTGACATATCTAATTCAGAAGACAAAAGCACTCACCTGACATTAACTGTAAGCAACAAGGCATCTTTACTGGAGTATTTAGTGACAAAAAATGAGATTTTAGGTATGTATTGAATGGATCTGGCAAGCAGCTGCTTACGACTATGAAAAATAATGACATGTAAATAAAATTAGTATTATAGTATGTTCTCCATGTGGTTAGACTTATAAAATAAGCCTGCTTTTACAAATATTTTTAATCCAATCAGACACTTTGCAAGCTCAGAGTTTCCACGTCTAACCTACACTACCCATATTTCAAGTACAAACAGCTTTTTAGTAAAAGCTTTTCAAACAAATAAATTGTGGTTTTATGGATTTTAAAAGTGTGAAAGTGTTCCACCAAATAATCAGGCAGAAAAATAACTCAGAAAGTTGAGCAAATAAAAATATTGTGTGAACATCTGGGATAAACCTAGATATACTAGATAAATAAATCTAGATGCAGAATTATTTGTAATTGCTTATATATACTTTAACAAATACCAGTTTCTCAGAGCAGAACAACACTTGCATCAATGGAATTGGGCAAGTTATTCTACATTAGCTAGTTTACAAATTAATGCCTAAATATCACAATAATAAAGTGCTCTATGATTCTACTGACAGAATATTTTTTTAAAATATTAGCTTCATAGAAGAATTTTAATACAATACTGGCTTTATGTTAAAAGAGGTGCATAAAAAGTTTTGCTCTTCCTCTCCCTGGTTTCCAGTCCTACTACTCATAACCTACAAGGGGCGTGTAAAAGACAGTCTCTTTGCATACACATTTAATCAGAGCAGAGGACATTCTCAGGGCAGGCGGGGAGGAAAAAAAGCCAAAAAGCATTACATGTATCTTAGATATCTTAGCATGAAGACAGCTTGAGATTCACAGGCCTTTTCCTCCATTTTTAAAAACCCTAATCTGAGTGTCTGCCATGCCAGATGCTGCAATTAATTTACTGGATTAAACGTACCAGTTTGAAGCTCTTCAAGGTATCTGTAGTGTTGGGTAATCAGTTCTCATGGCTGCCACAACAGTTGTAAACTCTGATCGTTATCCCTTTGAACTCCTATGGTAAGAAAATAAATGATGATAGAAAAAGATACTAATGTATGACAGATTGAAAATATAAAGCCTTTTTTTGGTTTTGTTTTGGCCATGCACAGCCTCACAGAAAGAAAGTGCTTCTAATAAATTAGTTTGTACAGTGTAAGGATTGCCATGAAAACGCAGACATTCATTCCCTAATTAAAAAGCAATACTGCATGCAACTAAGCTTTGTTCCTGCTTAGGCAATAAATTATTGAACATCATAACCTATAAATGAGGCATACTGAATGCTACCAGAATGAAAATTGCATTAAAAAACCTATTCTTCGTTGCTGCAAATAGACCCATGAGAGATTAAACGCAGCGCAGGCTGGCAGCGAGGGAGCCCGGCAGACGTGGCGTAGCACGGCTGCCCTCTGAAGGGGACCCTGCCCAACGGATGGCTCGCTGCCTGCTGCAGACCACCTCAGAAGTCCTTCTAATAGTGACAACGGAGACGGTACTTCAGCTGGAACTGCCAGCGCTTGTGTCCTTGAAGCGAGACAGAAAATCATTTACCTGGGAGTCTCTGCTGGATGGCTCGTCCCCTGGAGCTCACCTTTCCTGTGCCGGTTGAACTAAAGAGGCACAACGCCTGTAGTGCCACCTAAGGTCAAATGCGTTTCAGTGTTTGAAGAAATAACAGCATTTGACTTGATCGCTCTGTTAGAACTCATTAAACCTGCTCAGTTAACTGAGAGCGATTGAGGTAAATAATGATAAAATTTAAAATCATGTTGACATTGGCTTAATCTGATGTCAACTCAAAATAAATGTTAAGAATAAAAGTGTGAACAGTGCTTTCATCTACTCACTCTTTCAAAAGACTCCCTATAAGTTACAAGCATCATAATAACACTCTGAGTCCCAGTAAATGCCTTTTTGTGATAAGGAGGAGTTAAAAGTGATAGCTTTTATAAGATACAGCTAAAAAAGTTAAAATGCTACTGTAATAGTACCTGTATATTTACACGTATTGTAGACACTTCACTTGTAATTTATTTGGCATGTGAGCAGACATTAGGTTTAGGTAAAAAAAGATAGAACTAAACATTAGATAGCTATGGGTCTAATATTACATTTATATATTAAAATCACCATCCCTACAAAATACATTAAGGGAATGAATTAGAGAACATTTGTATCGGATTCCTGCACTCTGAATATGTGTTCGGCTGGTACAATGACTATGCCAAAAAAATTTTACAGAGTACAATGGCTTCTCATGCCTCTTGAAAAGTGTGCATTTGATCATATACATGAACAGTAATTGCCCCCCCAATAACACACTGATCCTTCACATGTGCCCTTAGATTATCATTACTTATGGGAAAGAAGGGAACTGAAGTGAATTAACTACTAGGTACCTGCATGAGAGTGCTGAAGTATTCAAGACCCTTAAAATACTGATCTTTGCCGAGGCTCCCTTGCCGCAGCTTTAAAGCCCCCTTCCACGGGTGCTGAAGGACCCTGCACTGTGTTTCACTGGGGATTTTAAAATCTCACGGCCTTCTGTCTCAGTTGGGGGGGGTTCTGCTGCCGCAGCTGCAGGATGGGGGCTGTCGTTTTGCTGCTACGCGGTTGTTGGTTTCTCCGGCAGAGGATCAGCTGTTCCGGTCGGTGGAGGGCCAGGCTGCCTCTGATGAGGAGGAGGAGAAGTGGGCAGGAGACCAGCTGTCCCAGGTGGACCAAATGAAGAAGATGCTGGCCAAGCTCCCTTGCTGTGGCAGCGGGTAGGTTTCTGAGATTAATGGTAATTGAGCCCTTTGCAAAGTTATTTCATGACCTGAAGCCGCCATGGCTTCAGTAAGAATCAGTAACACTGCGCAGCAAAATCAGCAGACCCCTTTGCCCACCCTTTACAGCTCACGGAAAACAACATGCTGGATATTCCCACCTAACCCACGTCAGCTAGGAAGCTCATTCTGATCTGTGCTGCCAAGAGTTTTGCAGGAAAACTGGCTTTTACATAGACCTTCACTGTAAGGTTTTACTAACTTTTCTTTTTTATTATTTTTGATGTGTATATATAGGTGTGATGAAAAAATGTGGAAAAAGCTAATGTCTTACTTGGAGACCACCAATACTGATGGCTACGACACAGCCCCTGCGGAGCTCGCAGAGAGGATCACACAGCTAACCGAACAGCTTGAGCTCAAAGGCCATGAAGTGAAGAAACTGGAAACAAATATGGAAGAGGTAACGGGTGCCAAGCAGAGTGTGAAAGAGTTAGTTAAGTGTCTTTAGTAGCTGCACTGATACCCATATGTGTTTATATTTTATTCTGGCCATTCCGCTCTTCTGTTACTGCTGTTTCTCGCTGTGCCAGTAGTTTGTCAGCTCAAACGTCCCATGCTTTCCTGTAACACCTGCATTCCCAGTCTGGTCCCTACCTGAACCTCCATTTATTTGGAGGATGAGACATACAGCAGCCAGAGTCAGACACAGAGTCTTCAAATACTACCCTTTATTTAGTGGTTTGAGCAGTTCACTGATGCTGTGTTTGGATCGATACCGCTGCAGACCAAAGAGCTGTGCAGTAACTACAGGGTTTCTATAGGCAGCCTTCAGTGGTTCCTCAGCTGTGGATGAAACACTCCACATGTCCCAAGACATCCAGCTCCTCTGGGAGCACAATAACTTTTCAGGAAGTCCCTCCAGCTGACTGGGATGCAGAGGCCCACCATTTTGGAATCCTTAAGAGGAATCATCCAGTTTACTCTGGCTGGTTCTCAAGCTTAAACCGATACATTTATAAATAATTAGTTCTCAAGCTTAGCAGCATGTTCAACTTTCCTTCAGCAGAGGTTATCACCACAGTACTGAAAAGCCTCAGAGCAGTACCCTTGTAGTCCCATGTGATCTTACTATATAAACACTGCAAACTTCGGCCACTGATGGACATAGATTTAAATGCTAGCAACCTTCCTGTGAAACAAAAATAGTGCATCATATGCATTGCTTTGGTCTGCTTTGTCTTGAAGGTTCAGTTAATGCTTGTTCAGTATTTTATACCCCTTATGTTAAATGGACTGCAATGATTTCAGTAGTCCTGGAAGGATTGTATTAATCGGTAAACTATTTAAAGTAAGAGTAAAATATTTAACTTCTTTGCATGTTGCCATCTTGTGATTTTTGTCAGTATTTCATATCATTTTTCCCCTTGACTAAATTAAATGAAAGAGTTTACTTGGGAGGAAAACATTGCAAAGTAGAATAAAATCACACTTGCATCTTATGCAATTTAGAGCAGTCAATGACAATTTATTCCTGTAATACTCCTTAGAGCAACCCAGAGCTCCTTCTGTACTGCTTAACATCTGTCCATGTAAAAAACTACAATTACTCTTTTACCTACAGGAGGGAACTACTGGCACGGTAACTACCTTCCTGTAGGTAGTCTCAGTTTTCTTCTTCTCTTTTCCAATCATAGGTACTCATCATCTTCTTCTGCAGTATCATATTTCCTTCTTTTTAGTCCCTGCTGATTAGTTCTGTGCATCTTGTTCAGAAATGTTGCATTATCGATAGATTAATACAAAACCTCAGGACAAAAATGGAGTCTGTTGCTCTTGACTTAAAGACAAGCAGGGAGGTGAATATGCCAACTCAGCGTGACATGAATTTAAAATCGGTAGAATGAATCATTTCGAGCCTGTTAGAAATTTATTCTTAACTCCTCTTACTTTTATTTAGCCGGTATTTATATCTTGTGTGCAGTTATAGGTATTTTTGACACTACAAAACAGACAGACAAGTAATAAGTAATTCCTTTCAAAAAGGTGACTGTTCCTGTAACCAACATAAAGCAAATTGGAAGACTGAGAAATGCTCTCTGTCATCTAACTTCTAAACTCATATATTGGCTTAGTAAGTAAACCACCAAGAACACTTTCTCCGATGACCGACCAAAACTACCTTATAGAACGCTCTATATACTTCTATTTGGAGTATGCTCCAATTTTCTGCTCTGTGCTGAAAACGAGAACAATAACAATAAAGCTAGTATGTTACAAACTCAGCAGGCAAGTGAAGAGCAACACTCTCACATACCAATTCATAATTGCTTCAGTCTAAAACTGTAAAACCAGGGGATAAAAGAATTCCAAAATTTGTCATGTCTAGAAAATTCTGCTTTCCAACAACCAAACCTTTAAAAATAGTTTCTACTGGAGACAGAGTGATAAAGGTGTCAGGACCTGGGGATAATAGATGGAGAAACATGAGCGAATTCTAAAAATAAAGTGATATGTTGCCAAGTGTAGGGCTGCAAAGAAATGCCAATGACCTTCCACAAAAGCTTGCATACAAACTGTCAGCTTAATTAAAGAAACAATTACTTTATGACCTGCCACACAGGGTCAAATGAAAAGTTCATCCTAATACCACGCCCCTGATGGCAAGCAGCAAGTTGCTTGGAAAAAAGCACTGAGAAACCATACAGAGGATTTTCCTCTTGGTATTACTCACCTGCTTCCCAGTACACTAGGGACAGACACATCTTGAACTGGATGTTGCACGGAATATCACGTTTAATGGCCACTATTGGAGCTATTTACCATGAATTTACTTTTCCTTTCTTTAAAGCTAGTGGTGCTTTTGGCATCTTAGGGCAAGGACTCCCACATACTACATAGAAAGGAACAGGTTTTGAGGATTGGTTTTTGTTAGCTTTAAATCTGCTGCCTGATCATCCACTGTCGTGTCGCTTTTGCGCTTGGGCAACAGCAAACGATCTTTCCCTTGTAATTTTACAGACTTTTACCACCAGAAATACTGCCTCATCACCATTCCTAGTCTGCCTCAGCCCTCTTAGTACAGAAACCATTACTTACTTCTGTTAGTCTATTTTACTCTTCTGTGTACTTTTCAAGTTCTATGACCCTTTTGAATGAGAAGAACTGAAAAGGTGCGTATTATGCAAATGCAAGCCCTTCATGGCATAGTTCTAGTTTCTGTTTTGTTCCCAGTTCCTTTCCTAATAGCTCCTAATATGTATCCTTTTGATCTCTGCTGACTGCTGAGCTATGTTCAGGATATTACAGTTCTTCTAGGTGTAATATCACTGCATACGTACGACATTGTGTACCTTTCCTACACGCCTTACTTTGCATTATTAACACTGAATTTCACCTGATCTTTTATTGCCCATAACTATTCGGTATCATAAACTCCTGCTGTAATTCTTCACAGGCAGCTTTAGTTTTCACAGAATC